CACTCGCCCGGGGTACCCCGTGCGGGGGGCCCGGGCTGCCCGGGCCCGGTGTGAGGAAACCCCGGGAGGGGCGCCTACTGTTCGCTGAAGCCAAGGGCTACAACGTCTGTCACCCGCTGCGCCCGCTTCCGAAGTCCTCAGCGACCGGCAGGGTTGGTGTGCTTGTTCTGCCTGTCACTCTCCCTACTCTCGAAAGAATTGTTTTACTCAGTTGCGTTTCCCTTTTTTTTTGTGATGAATTCGAAATACTATGCCAGACAGAACTGGTACACTTTGTCTCTTGTTCACATGTTTAACAGTCAGAGCAATATAGTAGCCAATCAATCAATGGGGCGACTCAGGGGTAATGCACTCCAGCCTCGATTGGGACTCGAGCCAATCGAGTGCCTCGGATTAGAATTTGGCTTATCACAATTACCGTCCCTCGTCTCAGACTTCTTTCAGTCTCTCTCCACCGATCGACACGCACCACAAAAAGCTAGTGGTAATACGTTGGACTAATATCCGAGTTCCAAGTGCTCTCCCCGAGTTCAGGAGCGCGTGAGCAATGCGGTTCGGTTTCAGTTGTCCCTCCTCCTGTTCGATGCAGCATCAGCTCACTTGTGCACTTCCAAGTGACCCACACTAACAATTATAAGTTGGGGAGATCCTGGTCTGTGGAGTCCAGCTTAACACCGGTCAGAGAGGGCCAGCTTAACCCATGCCAAAGCGCTGTTCGACAATCATGAGTAAACATGAGATCGTACAATAAGGGGCCAATCAGCTCCCTGCTCTCGTTGTGCTCTCCCCTCCTCTGTTTCCCTTGTTATCTACAGTCCCTCCATTGTAGGTCGAAAACAGCATAGAAAGGTGAATGGAGACAGTACTGATTGGAAAATAGGACGTTTTCCTCTGCCTCACTCAGTGTCCCGTACTCGCCCGTGTGGTAACATCCGGGCTGAGTGGTCCACCCCAAATCTGGCGATTTATCGCGCCATGAAGAATTCTCCAAATTCCTGAATTTTTTACCATTGGAAGATTAGGTACCGATCTTTCCAGGAAAAATATCGAGCAAAAATAAATAAATCATCTCACCCATGAAACAATCACCGCGCCAATCCCTTGCATAATCTGGTTTACCACAGTGSAGTTTGTTGGCTTACGGGAGGGGTACTCGAACTTTCCCGATTTTTCCCGCTCCAAAGAACGTGAATCAGAGTTTGAAACATTAGATTCCCGTAGGATAGCTTGTGATCTTTTCAGGAAAAATAATACAAATAATAATAATAATAATAATAACAAGAAAAATCGTTCTGGCCATGAAACAATCTCACTTGCATATCCTAGTTTTGACACAGGGCAGTTTGTAGACTGAAGGGAGGAGTACTCCAACTTCCCCGTTCCACGTATCTCTCTCCCACTACACGCTCTCTCTCTGCACACTCTCTGACTCTGCGTACACTCTCTCTCTCACCGCACACTCCCTCTCATATCAGAGTTGCACGTACCTGTTCGCTTGCCAGCCGAACACTAGATTGCGTGATCGGTGGGTTGGTTGGCCAGCAGAACACTTGAGTACCAACCCACTGGAACTGGCTCGTTTCCGCTACCAGCGGATACACTTGATTGGCTGGCCTGCAGAACACTTGAG